AACATCCTCCAACCTACTAGTATACCCTCCACCCTACTAGCGATGGCCTTCAACCTATTGGCGCCATGCATACTTCCGAAGAGAAGATTTCAAAAAAGATTCGGCCTTTTCGCAGAAGGGTGATTGCCTTGCCCTTGCGCCCTGCTCGGCCGGTACGGCCAATCCGGTGAACGTAATCTTGACCGTCCTGTCACTTTTCGTTCGAGATCTGTAGAATCTTTTTTGACAAGCGCATTTTTCAGTTGAAAGCTCCAAACTTGGAATCACCCAGAAGCGGAGCACCTCAGGAGGATCAAAGTTGATGACCAAGTTTATGTCCTCAGAAAATACTGAGTTACTGAGCCATGTGAACCTCCATGCAGCGGTATGCCATTTTGCAGCCGCAAAATTTCACAATCAATGTCAACGTGCCCATATTATACAAGAGAATGCAATTGGAGAAGGTTGCACGCATGTGTTACACATGTATGCATGCTGCAAATGCATGTCCTTGATGTCCAAACCACGACCTGCGATGCTCGTTGCAACCTCAGGGAAGCAAAGGCCAACGTGACACTGACAACTTCTTCGCTCAAATCTGTTTACTGCGAGAGAACATTTACTGAACTTTTGCATAGCAACCAATGTACTGAATCTTCGGTTATAAAAGCCCTGCTCGGCATCAGTATATCAGTGTATTATACATTTGCATACATTCATTTCCTCTGGCCGCTGGCCAGCAACTCCAGCAAGGTCTCAATTCTCTCTTCAATTTGAGATCGGGGCCATGATCCACGAGTCACCACTCCGAAACCTTTGCATCGCCTTAAGTCACTACAGATCCCCAACACATATGGGGTGGCATCGAATGGACACGCCCTTGCTCCTATGAAGCACCTCTACATTCAGTTCTTCCAAGCTCTGCGCTGTAGCTACTAGAATCGTCCATGCTTACTACAATATATATTAGGTATTTTATACATTTATATACCCTACCTCCTCTAGCTGAGAACTCTCTGACCCATTCTAACCCCCCCAAGAAACAAACAAATTCGAGTATTTTCCAGTTTCTTCAGCTTCTGTCTCGTTTCTTGAGCTGAGCTTTGCGGCCGCTTCTCTGTCGGCTTGCTTTTTGTTCCCGTGGAGTGTCTCAACCTGGACCAACTTAGAGACTGACAAACCATTCATTCGATTTCATTTGATCGAAGGTCACATCTGGGGCTCCAGCAGTAGCACCGTTCAGAGCCGCCTGCCCGCAACTGCGTGACTTGGAACATGGAATAAGAACATTTGCTCCTAGTAGCGACGCCCTTTGCTCCTAATAGCGTCCTTGTTCCTAGTAGTAAGGCCAGGAGCCCCTAGTAGCGTCTTTGCTCCTAGTAGCGATGCCCTTTGCAGTATTGTTCATCAAGACTACATTCACTCTCCGCTCGGCTGCAGAATCTTCTATGAGCCTTTGCGCACACACTGACCATAGCTCAAACACGCCCTGAATGGGACCAAGGAAACTTCAGACCTTCTATGGTGGAGGTGAGATGTCTTGCCTTGATCTTCTTGGCCATGGAGTCACACTCTTCGTGATCAAAGGCAAAAATCAAGACCTGTTTCAATTCACACGAGAACCCTTTGAGTCGACACAATAACTTTCATTGAGCACCTCAATTCCCAAACTGCATGCCCATATTCTCTCACATCAAAACATGCTTTACTCGTAGTCCCCATTGCTGCCTTCCCTGGGTTCTTGTTCTGCGAACCATACCTTGGAGATGTGAGGGAGACCTTCGGAACTACAACTGTATTGAAGAACAATCTACATTGTACATCCCAAACATAACGATATTCTTACACATGCTGCATGTGCGGCATCTATCACCCTTGCTATCAACAAAATATCACAAAATCAAGAACGCCAACACCGAAGGTTCGGAGGGGTGTAGTCTAGGAATGCATGACACGCCCGCATTGCTTAGCAAACGCTATATAGTTTTGCCTAGTGCTTCATTGTTCCAATTCGGCGGAATTTCAACGTAGACTCCAGGCAGGATTTTTGCATTTTCTGGAGTTGATGTATTTATTTTTGTTACAGAAAACGAAGTTATGCGGGTGTGGTTTTTACGCGTTTTTGTGGTTTGTGGTTTTCTGCATTTTTTTGAAAATGTTGGTTGTTTTGAAGAACGTGTCTAGCAAAAATGTCGACTTGTAATCTGTCAGATCTTTCATCAAGCTTTTGCAAAAATACTAGCTCTCATGATTCCCACGCAGAAGTCCATCAACCATCATTTATCAGCAAGTCCACGACATCACATCATACATCATCAGGTCATCTCCTCTATGAGGGGAATCTAGTCTCCAAGACCTCCAATCTCAATGAATCCTCAATCTCCAGCAACTGGGCCTGGGCCCGCCAAAAAAAATGAGAATGCTTATGGGCAAGGAAGGGTAGAGTCGGATCCAGGGGTTGTTTTAAAAAAATGGTCTGGGAAACAGGAGCACAAGAACATATCTAGACCGCAACTGTGGAAACTCTTTCAAAACATGACAAAATCTAAGAAAAACACAACAAAAACGCGTTTTAAAAAAAACACACACCCGCATAACTTCGAGCTCTCTTTTGTTAATGACTTAATAACAGTGGAATGTCTTATGGCCTTTGAAGATCATATCATGCTGCAGCAATGGATGGACGGACCCGGTCTTGGAAGTCTGTATTTGTTTTTTGCAGCCAGTGAAATGATAAGTATGTTTTCCTTCTTTGGTGCATGGGTTTACCAACATCCAGTCAATTGCATTTTGGAGATAGACATAGTTTTGGTTCCCTGATGTTCCCTGCGTCGTTCTACATGTAGACCTTTTTCACGGCGTGTTGAGTGCATCAATGTTCCTGATGGTCTATGACGGGTGCTCCGATGGATGGACCAATGATGTAGATATTGAGGAATCATGCGCGCACGGGCTGCTGCACGGGTGATCATTAAATGTTGGTTGCTTGGGGCCTATACACAAAAACAAACGCTTCGCCGAAGCTTTTGCGAGCTTCGCGCCTGCAAAGGGTGCCTACACAATGCGCATGTTTATCAAAGGTGCCTACGTGAACCAGAAGACATCACTCAGTGTCAGAGGCATATGAAAATGAAGTAGTAGCGGACGAAACAGTGCAGGAAGGCGAGGCAGCTTGCAAGGCAGCAGCTTGATGGCGATGCTTTGCAGCTTGCTTGTGTCGACGAGCAGCAGCCTGGGACAGCAAGGCTTCTTCTCCACGAGTAGCTGGGAGGTTTTGTGGCTGACTCTTCTGGGCCAGGTGGCGTCAGAAGGGGATTGGTTGGATGGAGGCCGTAGGTGCTTTCGCGGAGCTTTCGCAGGGATCAGCTTAGATTTTTTGACCGGTTCCTGCAACAGCAATCGTAAGACCACCCTGCTAACGCCAATCCTAATGGCACAGTGACACAAAGCGCCGACGTCATGTCTCCGCAGCAAAACCATCCTATTTCACGCGAATCTGACACTTCCCGCTTCCATCCAAAACCGAAGTTGAGGGGAAAGCTGCTCGACACAACATGTCAACGCACCACTCTAGTAGCTACACTGGAATGAAGCTCGAGAGTCCACGGGAAACGTGGGCAAGCGTGTTGCTCGGCCACAGGTCGAGACAACAAAAGACGAACCCACATGCGTTCAACAATCACAGACAGCGACTTTCCAAGATTCAATTTCACGGCCTGCACCTTTTGCAAAGGCTCGCGCGAAAAGAACTCTATAGTCATCGGTGTGGTACGGTACCTATACTTACCTGCACTGCATACGTGAGCCACGTGCAAAGCCTCTTATGTGTTTTAGTGCGCGTGACCATACCCTCAGGAACGATAAGGTTCACAGAAAAAAGCAGTCACATCCCGTGCGTGTCACGCTGCCATGCACTGCTACACCATCAACAAACTCATAGCATCCCACCCCTGCTCACACCACTATAGAAGCTCAAGCTTGAACCCAGAAGCAGCCCACCCTTCTCCAGCAACTGTGCCTTTTCACTTTTTCGCTAACTGTCAATCAGATGAAGATGAAGAGGAACTCGCATTGCCATTGCTGCCTCGAAGTCTGTTTGCCAGAGGTTCCCTCCTGATCTTGTTGCGCGCCCTTCTCTTGTTGAGCTGCGCCATTCGCTTGTCCAGCTCCTCTTGCAAATTGAGTGCGCCACCCCTTTTGCGGTTCTTTGCTTCTGGCAGCAGATCGCCTTGGCAAGCTTGCTTTCGGGGAAGCCCAGTGTGTTCATGCCTGCCCAAGGGAGTAGGCTGCTTATCCCATTCTCCCCAGAAACCTCTTCTCCAAGCAGGTGGCCTCTCCACATCCTTGACGTGAAGCTGGTCAATTTCAATGGTAACAGGCATGGAGCTGAAAATGTGATTCCGCATTCGCACCCCAAGACGCAGAGGCTTGACCCGCTGGTCCAAGCAAGCAGACACGCAGTATGTCCTTGTAATGTGGAAATTTGAAGGCGCAAGGCGCGGAGAGGAGGGACCACGCCTACGTTGCTCTTCATTTTCTGTTCTTCCAGCGACAAAATGTCTCGTTGGTTTTGCTTTGTTTTCTCAACATACGCAGACATCCAGCCAAACAATCTGTCGCAAATAGACTTGCTACGCTTCTCCCAACCATAGTGTACCAGCACTTTGGCTTGCCATTCATGCGCCAAAGTCACTAAATAGTGGTACGTGGCCTCATACCCCCTGTAGTTTGGGCCGGGATCTGACATTAAGTTCAAGGTCTTGAATGCAGACTTTTTGCAACGTTTCCTGAGAATCATACTAATGAGCTGGTTTGCGCGCAAGCAGGTGTGGCCCAGAATGTCACTCAAAACCAACTAGTACGAAGTCACCATGTGCTCCTCTTTCAAACGCTCCACCACACAAGCACCCCAGACACTGATCTCCATCCGCGCCGTATCATAGAACTGCTCACCAGTGGCACAGTGTGCTATTGGAAGTGACGCAAGTTCCTTCCAATCTGAAATCAGAGCGACGCTTGCTGCGGGGGGCCACTTGCAGCTCCTTGAGCATGGGAGACTGGTGTTCGTTGGCCGCCTGGTGGTGACTGTAACTCAAGACCACTTTGGCCACTTTGAGCAGACAGTTCAACTCCACGCAACATGCTGCTTCCAAAGCGTGCAGGTCAACACGCCGGTGTTGAGAGAACCCACTACCTCTGGACCGGAGGTAAGCTTGTCCGCAAGGAAACTTGGCAGATCCATGCTTTGCACAATGTTTTTTCTCACAATGTTGCGCGACAAAATGCTCAAGCTGCTCAATGTGCAAAGCAGGCTGGTCTTCAAGGTTGTGCGCCGAGGCATGCGAATCCCAAGAATCGAAATACTTGGGCAAGAAGGCTTGCAGCTGTTCCCTTTGTTCGCTCACAATGCGCTCAGCGATGGCAGGACCTTCTTTTCAGAATCAAAACAATCTCCGATTTGCAACGCGCCCGCTTGTATTGGCACAAATGTTTTCGCGTGATTCTTCGGAAGGTGTGTTCGCTCATCTTGCTCGAGATGTTTTCCTCCTCGTGGAAAATGCTAGCCTTGCATTTTTGACCCCTGCGCGTGGCTTCCAGAAGCTACCCTGCCCCGAAGTATTGCAAAGCCTCTAGAGCTCCAACGACTTTGTTCGCTCCAACGACTTTTGGCCTTGGGCACATCTTGCAACACTTTCTGGCTACACGGGCGCCAAAGCAAAAGACAAGCCCTCTTACAACAACAACAAATCGATCCGGTAACCATCCTGCACCATCCGGCCGTCAGCCGGTCTCCCATGGGACTGCATGGTGTCAGCAAGGGGGACTACTTGAGAAATGCACTGAGAAAGGCATTCACCAAACAAAAAAGCAAAGCTTTGCAATATTTCACTCAAGCGGCACAAGCACTGATCACTGACCAACAATTTGTGCTTTGCATTCCAAGTGGAGCTCTGCGTTGTCCCCATGCAGAGGTTCACATGGCAAAGCGAAGGGCAGCCCTGTGGAGCCACAGCCATCACCCAGAAAAGAAGGCCACAATCAGGAAAAGATCTGAGCCCCAAATGCTCAAGCCAGCGGAATCGCAGCAAAACAGCTGACTCCTGCAACAAAAGTGATGCCCCACATGTACTAAAACCTTATCGTTTTTTCTGTGAACCTTATCGTTCCTGAAGGTTTCCCTCGTTTCGACTGAACTTAATCTTCACTGTAGTGGTGCTGCCTTCGTCGGAGGTTTTGGCAGTCGCTCATATACATGTGCCAAGTTGCTTTCGTGGTTTGCTTTGGCGCGTTGCTTTCGCGGCTCAAAATTTGGATGGTTGCGCGCAAGGCGCTTTTGCGAGCTTTCGCAGAACAAGAAGCTTCACACTGCACACATTTGCTTTTGCGGAAAGTTAACAAGTTCCATTTTGCATGTGTCCTTTCAATTTAAGAAAACCGTTGCTCAGGTGGAGGCATTGATGTGTCTATCACGCTGGTCTTTTTGGGAATGTTCAAGCTCCAGCTCCAGCCGCTTCCCCCTTTAAGGGAGGGTTGGGTGGAACTCTTTTTGAGCCCTGACCGGAGGAAAGCCTGCCACCGCCAGCTGCTAGTGGCGCTTGGGATCCTCATCAGGTTGTTACAGTGCAAAGGAAAGGCTCGCAGGTTGGCGGATGGGGGTTGTGGACGGAGTGAGGCGCAGGTTGGATGAGTCCGTCAGGAGGCGGATGTCAGACAATTTCGTTGACTGAAGGCCTGGGCTTGGATCACGGAGGATGCAGACTGCTGGTTCCTCGATGTTGTCACCACGGCGGTGCCTTTGGGGGGTGCGGGGAGAGATCCCTTGAGTGGAGGCGGTGTATGACCGCAAGTGCCGAGGACAGCGCCGTTCAGGCTTGGTCCTCCGGAGATCCTTACAGTAGGGACACCTACAGTAGGGGCACATGGAGAAGGTCAAGCCGCCTATCCAAGAAGATCTGAACCGGGGATGGATGGTTCAGTTGAACAAGGAGAAGGTGCTGGTGGAGTTCAGGGACGATCTCCATATATATATATATATATATTTGTTGGGAGTGGTGCCAAAGAACAAGGCTTGGTCGGACGTCAGAGTTGTCTATAATGGAAATGCACGGCTTGAGGGTGAACACCCACTTGGATCAGCCCAATCGGATGAATTGTCCTGTTTTGATGACCTGGAGTGCTGTTGCTAATTGAATGATCAATTCAAGGGGGGTGAGGAAGTTGGAAGTGAAATCAATTCCACCCCCCGAGTGTTGCCGATGATGCAAATACCGCCGATACGTTGATCCACATCTGCTAATTAATCCGACCATATCCGATCTGAGGTGTATGATCTGATCCATCCAACGATCGGTCCAATGATCCGCGACGGTCCATTGATCTGAAGATATGTCGACGATCCGTTGAACCGATGATCTGCTGATTCTTGTTCCTAGTATGTGAGTGTTGCCGATTAGCTGATTAGCCATGGCAACATGTCGATAACGCCAGTGAGTTCCCTGTTAAAAAGCCTGTCTAGAAATAGCACGGTGGTGGTCGTGTTGAAGAACATGGTGATGATTACGATAGTGATGAGGCTTGTTATGATGGGGATGGTGATGTTGGTGATAACTGATAACCCTGACAATGGTGGTGATGATGATGACGATGGTGAACAATGTGCACACTTCCGCGCAAATGCACCCAAACGACGATCCCAGACGGTATTCCCGGGCACCCCGGGCTCACCGTCTCATCCGGGCACAAACGTTGACAGGACCTTATTGTCTCATTTATGTCCCACACCCCTAGGTGCAAGCGGTGTGAGGGACACTACTACGTAGTTCTCTGGTTGGGTCATTTATCCCTACCAATTGTGGTGTTAAACAGAACCGGGGCGGGCCGGGCGCAGAAAAGTGGAGCTACCCCAGCAACCCCCTTTCCCTTTGCAAACTGCACCTCCTGAACATATGCACATATCTCAAACAGTATAGATTCACCTAAACATAAAGCAGTAATCTAAGGCAGGAGTAGCGTGATTGCTCTTTGCACCACGTGGGGTGCAAGACTTCCTATACCATACACTATATTGAATTGGCTTACCTTGTCATTGTCCTCAAATTTGAGCTAATATGAGCTAATCATGCAATGCTTTCAAGTTGCAGCTTCCGAAGCATGCTCTTCAAAGCGCCCTCTTTGTCAAACTCATCTTTCACCTAGTGGAATCAGCAAACATGGATCTGACATTCGCATTGTTTCCATCTTTGTAGAATGCTAGCTGAGACACTCTTACTTCTGTTGCACATTGCACAGCTTTCAGCTGCCACAAGGATGTTGGCTACCTTTGGGGTTGTCTGTAGAAATCTCTGAGTCTCATTGAGTTTCCAACAATAACAACCTCTTGCATCACATCCTTGTTTGCCTTCAGCGGGTCCTTGCAAACGCTTGCTTAATCTTATTTGATCTTATTAGAATCTTATTTGTAATTACATGCCTTGCTCGGATTTGCTCGATCACCGACTCACAGGGACTATACAAACAAGGCGGCAGTGTAAGCTGTGTCATGAACTGCAACAAAAAGCAACAAAGCATAGCAAATGAAACAATGCAATCGCTTCCTTCATGCCCACTCGAACCTCAACAGCATGACGGCCTCAGCAAAGCAAACCAATCATGGTTCAGCCAACGCCCATTGTCACTCCAAATCGTCGGAGTTGGAATTCAGCCGTTCAGCCATTTGCATCCATTTCAGGCCACGAAAAGGTGGAAAAGGCGGACGTGCAAAAGCCGACCGGGCGAATTGGTGCGAAATTGGAACAAGACAGCAGCTTGGTTGGTTAATGATTGTTGACGCTTTGAAGCTGTGTCTGCAACAGTTCTCTCAAGACTAGCCTTGCTTGGCTCTGCGAGTGCGGAGGGCTGCACTTGTACATATTGGCGCTGCATTGATCCAATGATGCTCCCTTCGAAGCAATAACTGCTGACCCGAGGTCGTTTTACGTCGCTTTACTATTAGAGCATCCAAGCATCCTCCTGCAACATATTGAAGGATATTTTCATATCTAGTGAATTATACTGTATATTGCCGCGCAAATGCTTCATCTGGCGCTTGTGGAACGTTTCCTACAAGTGGACAAGTTAAGCCCGATCTTGTGGAAGACCAGTACAGTGTTTTCACAGCCCCATGTCTGTGGATTGAGGCCCTAACTTATCCATGTGGCAAGGTCGCTGACCTCAAAGCGCACAAGCCGAGAGCTGCATAGAAGTGCGAGAAAATGTTGAGGAAGCTGGAGAGCAGGGTGTACAAATGCAACACCGAGAGACATCATCTGCAAACGTTGCGGAAAAAAGCATTGTTTGCCTCCGCCTCAGAGGAACGCAAAACTCAAACACACTTGTAGACTTGTATGACGCACACACGCGCACTCTTGCAAAGCGTCCCGCGGAGTCTCCACGTCTATCGCGATCTTTCGAATGTTGGAATCAAGGCCTCAACCAAAATGGTGCATCCTTGCATCAGTGATTTTGTGGAGATCCACTACCTCACACAGTGAATCATGCACCTCGCATGGCGCCCCGCTCTCTTTTATGAGTTTTATGAAAACAACATATTCCATATGTATTGAATGTATTGCATTGTACTACGAATATCGAGTACAAGAGACGCTCATGTTATCCCAGCGTTGCCTTCTCCGATCATTGCATCCGCCTTACAGTGCTTTTACCAACCCTCTTTCTGACCGCTCACCCAAGGCAGTGTCAAAGATTATGGCTTGATCCAAATGCATTATAGTATTCTCCAGAATCACACAACACAAAGAGTGTTGAACCCTGATTAGTATTTGGATGGAACGGGACAAGCTCTTGCTAAAGCAATTTCATTTCTGGATATTGAACACAGTACGACATACTCGATTGCATTCCTCCCAGCAGGCAACAAAATGAAACAGGCTGGACAAAATCGCTCCGAAAGTTGTCGCGCTCGATATTCCACTGTAATTAATTATGTTTGCCAGGGTGATCAGTAGGAGGTAGTATATACATACGAGAATCCAAAAGATATGATGAAATATGATGAACACATCCTGGCAGTGCTTCCAACGAGTTATATATTGAATGAATGAGTGAATGAGTGAGTGAGTGAGCGAGTGAGTCAGTTAGTCAGTGAAAAGGAGCAACATGGAAGGCTTGCGCAGCTCTTGAATGATGTTAGGTATGAATGCAGCTGATGAGCGTGCAACTCAAGTGAGCAGTGCAACAAACTCAGCTGAAGGAACGGAGGATCCTACAGTACATCCTTTGAAGGTCCATCATCCGTTTGTGCTTTGAAGGCCTGTCATCGGCTGGAACCAAACAGTAGCACCTGAATCTTGCCGTGTTGCATCGTTTTGCTGTGGGGCAGAATCCAAGACCCTCTGCGCAATATTCTCAAACCCAGTCAAACCTTCTGACTCTTCTGCTTTCTTGACTCACTGCCTTGATTCATTTCACACTCGAGCTATTTTGGTTAGCAGTTGTGTAGGACCAATCAACCCTGGTCAGCCGAAATATTCTGCAATAAGGCGTGCCAGCTGCCAGCCTTTCTGAAGAATCCAATTAAAGCAGTGACGGTCTGTGTTCATGTTGAATTCCGAACCGATGGTGGGGTGTCAATGTAGTTTCAAAGAAACTACGTTGTATGGTGTTGTTGGATTGCTGGGCTTGTTGAAGAACAACTGCCGAGAGGAACACGCGCATTGATATTTGCAGCAGCAGTGACAAAGGCTAGTCTAGAGGCGGGGTCAAAAACATTGACAGTTGCAGTAGTACGAGTAGCAGCGTAGCAGTAGTCTTAGAAAAGGAAATAGCATATGCAATAGTAAATAGAATTAAATAGATGAGATGCAAATAGGTGAATCATAGTGATAAAATAAATATAGATAGTAGCAGCAAAAGCAGTAATCATTGTTGTTGTCCAATTAGTTCTTGTGACAATAGTAGTGCGGGGGCATGGTGGTGCAATGGAAAGGTGCCTTTCGGCGGACGCATAAGTGTTGTACTGGTTGGTACTGGCTGGTTTCCATTGGTTTCCGTTGGCCTGACTTTAGTTAACAGTTAGCTTGGAAAAACTGGAAGGGGGCTGCTGTTTGCCTCGTCAGGTTCTCTCAATTGGGGTTTGTTCTTGTCGGTCGATTGTTTGGCTGCCTTTTTGGATTGGCTAACTTATTTGGATTTATTTGGCTTGTAGTTTATTTGTTGGGTTTCTTTCGTTCGCTCAGTTGGTGTCCTTTTCTAGGGGACAAGGTAAAATGAGATCACAAGCAAGTGTGACTCGAGGCCAATGACTCGAGGAGACTGCAAGTGTGACAAGCGTACAGCAAAAGTAGATGCCGAGTTGATGGTACTGTAGATATGAAGATCCCAAAGCAAAGTGACAGGTGTCTTGACTTGCCATGATAATTTCACAGTGTGAAATAAAGCTTGATGCCGAGGGGAACTGAGACGAGCTGAGACAGAAGACGGGAAAGGTAGGCAAAAACAGCAGCCATGTGATCATATCATCATATCATACGCATTCATACGCAATCATATGCGATCTAGCCCCCAAAGACACCCAGGGAAATTGAACAGGCTGATTGGGGAGAGGGCAACCCCCTCCCGGATTTTGCGTACGGACTGATTATGATTAACTCCATCTAGTCTAGCTTTCATGATAAGGAACTGGTGCCGGGGTCAAGCAATGTTAAGTGATTTCTTTACGAGCGACCACCGTAAAGCCCATCACGTATTCAAAAGTCACAGGATTTCGGAACAATGCGCATCTTGTTTACAGAAGGCACTTCACACCCATGGAACCATCATGGCCACAGCTGTCTGAAGCCACCCTCCAGCACCTTGTCGATAATTGAAAGCCGTTGATGTCCCTTGTGTGTGTGGGTGGAGAAGCGACATGATGGAACCCCTTTGGCCACGGCCTCTTCAAGCAGCCCTTAAAGCCAAGAATTGCATGATATTCCTATCCCAAACCTATCGTTACCTATGTGGAAACCGCCGGTTAAACACATCCATCCATCCATCCATCCATCCATCCATCAACAACCACGAGTGCTCAACCCTCAAGCCCGCGGAGCCGCGAGGGAAGTGCGGAACCGCGAATCTGCACCCCATGGTCGGTCTGCTGATTGACTACAAGTCGATCATTGAGTTCATCGACAACCGGCCCTACATCCAACTACCTGCGGCGCCCAGAGACGGAGTTCCGCTGGGAATCCTCACTTCCTTTTTCACGGTGTATAAGCTCGCTGTGACCTTTGACCTGACGGTCCAGGAAGACCCCAACATTTACCAGATCTCAGCCTCTCCTTCCGGATTTCAATCCCTGAAATCAAGGTCACAAAGCACCAAGGGCTGGACTACAGCGAGCACTCGCCAGGGTCCCAAATCCCTGGTCACGGCGGCAACTTGGATTTTGATCTGCTTCATGATAATGCCGAGTCCTGTGAGAGATGAGGCGCCGTCTTGGTGGCCCGAGGGTTGCCATAGTGCTGGTCTATGGCATGAGCTCCGCGAGCAATCGTCCTCTCTTCCCATGGAATGGGGCGAAAACATCCAGCACAACCCACACAAGTCCTATAGCCGCAAAATAGCCTTTCGTAAGGCCTGCAATAAGCTGCCAAAGTAGGATGCACAGCTTATCATGGCCATTTTCACACCCTCAAGAGTTTAGGCCAACCCTCATTGGACACCTCAGTTTACACAACAGATTGTCCCAAAGCCAACGCCTGTTACTCGTTCAGTCTCGTCCTGTCGACTACGGTACACCTGTTGGAACTGTGGAGGTCTTCCTTCATGGCGTCTGGATGAGCTTCGCATTTGGGCCAGCAACTCTCGGCTGGATCTGTTGGTCATTACCGAGACCCACTGGACGCAAGACTACGAATGGTCTGCTCGTGCCTGGTCATACATCAGCTATGGAAGCTCCAATACCACCCACTCAGGCATTCTCATTGTGGCAAATCGTAGGTTATGTGCGCCGACAGCAATTGCTTCGACCAACACAGTACCTGGCCGTCTAATCCATGTAAGATTATACACTGAGCCCAGGGCAGTTGATGTGATAGCTACCAACAATCAGGGGCACACGCCACCGACCTGCTTGCCACCAGGCAAACACTCTGGACGGCCCTGGATGGCTTATTGAACCGCCTCCCAAATCGACACATGCTCCTGTGCCTTGCTGACTTCAACTGCACACTTCCAGGAATCCCTTCGTATGCACCTGTTGATTCCTTCAAACCGATTGCAGGTACATTGCCATCCAATGCTCGCCATCCGGACTGCCTGGAGCTCTGCCGAATCGTCAAACAGCATCGACTCGTTGGTCTCAACTGTTTCCAAGCACGTCAGGGCACTTTCACGAATGGTCGACACTCCTCACGCATTGATTATGTCTTCACTCGTATTGCCTGTGTTGATAAGTATGCCAAAGAATTTCGACCGCAGCGTGATTTTCCTTTGCTTGCCAACCAGGTCTCATATCACCTTCCACTAAGTAGCTCAATAGCCCTGCGTTGGCATAGGAAATATGCACAAACCAGATCCTCCACGATCACCCTCGACAGCGTGAAAGCGCTCACTATGCCAAGGAACACTCGTCCAGTGCGTGGACACATTTTGCTGACAGAGCCCATGCACTCTTCGGTGAGGACTGGACACCGTCGATGCAAACAGTCTCAACCATGCACAAAAGGCTTCGATCGACCTTCACTGACTCCTTCCCACCTGCAGGTCACTCAAGTCCAGTTTGGCAAGACCATACCACTGCCGTGCAACACAAATGGGCCCTTTGGCACCACATCAGAAATCATGCAGATTCGTCAATCAAGGGGATTTTCAGAGTTTGGCGTCAGTACTGCGATTTCCAAAACCTTCACCGCCTGCACCAGCAACACGCCAAGGACTGGCACTTGCTGCAATCATGACTGAAGCGGCTGAAGCGGCTGCATGCCATGACACGTATAAAGCCTATCAACTCATCAATAAAATAACCCCCAAGGCTGTTCGTAGAAGAATCCAACTTCGAGATAAACATGGTCAGCCATTAGGACCTGTGGAATCGCACGCAGCCCTGGTGAACTTTGTACGCGCGACATGGGCTGATCCGCAAGGGAGAACCATCCCTGAGCCCACCACGGAGACCACATGGTCTGATTCCAAACTGCCCACTCACCACATGCCTTTTACACTGCGTCGATTGCAAACTGCCATTCGTAAACTCAAATGGAATAAAGCGGTAGCCGCCCCTTTTGCGCCAGGTGAGGCATTGGACCGTTTGCCGATTCAGTAGCACTGAAACTGTTTGAACTCCTCCGCCGTTGGCGGGGACAGGATGAACCATTCCTGCCGAGCTCATGGAAGGACAGCTGGTTGGTATGGTTAACCAAACCGGGGAAAGTCCGGATCGTCCCAAAAATCTCAGGCCACTTGCTCTCCAAGAGCCACTTGGTAAAAGTGTCATGACCCTCATTGCACAGGCTCTTCGTAATTTTGCATTCGACCAATTGTATGCTTGGCCTCAATGGGCCTACATCAATGGGCGTGGAACCGGAGCTGCATTGGGACGAGTGTCTGGGCATTGTGATTTGGTCCAGAGCAAGCTCAAAGCACATGCTCGGCGGACGCCTCACATCATAGCTGAGGGACATGCCATGACGCCAATCAGTGGGGGCCTGCAATTGTTTGTTGATTTAAGTAGAGCCTTCGATTCCATCCCTCGGGATTATGTGTTTCAAAGCCTTGTAGCTCTAGGTACTCCGCCTCTCATGCTACAACTGATTCAAAGTTGGCACACTGGCACGCACTACATTGCGCAAACTCACTCCTTCATGGACGCAGTACCCACTGGAGTGGGAATTCGACAAGGCTGTACCTGTGCTCCCATCCTTTGGAGCGTCGCCATGTGGAGGTTCATGACACAATGTTTTTCCACATTTGGTCCCTGGATTCTGTATGCGCTCAACTTGTTTGCTGACGATTTTCATATTTGTGATGTTTTTGACACAGCCCACGAGTTTGAAGCGAGCCTTCGCAAGCTTGGTCAGCTCCTTGACTTGGTTGAAGCAGCCGGCCTCACTATCAATTTGGAGAAAACTCAAATGATACTGGCCATGAAGGGCTCGAAACAGACCCAGCTGTTGAAAACGTACACTGACTCGCGCGTCCAAGGGATGGTTCATTTTGATTCCTATAGAAGGAACAGAGAGCGCTCACGCTTTCGACTCGTTAAGCAAGCTGTGTATCTTGGAGCAGTCATTAACTTTGCGGATCATAAAGATGCCACGGTTCGATCACGCATCAAAAGTAGTCACACTGCCTTCAATCGTTTGCGGAAGTGGCTTTGTGGTTCCAGGTGTCTCACACAAGCACAGAAGTATCAGCTTTGGCAATCATGTGTCCTTAGCATCCTCATGTATGCTCTCCCTGACATTGGAATCACGCCCAAGGGATGCCAACAACTCCTTTCGACTATCACCAACATGCTTAGGAAAATTTACAAGGATCATCCATACCATCCTGGTAGAACCCATCAAGCCTTTTTTCTGCATCATGGCCTGCCAACGGCTGTGAATATCGTTCGACTCCGACTTGAAGCCCATCTTCAAAGATTGCAAACCAGGCTTGATTGGGTAAGCAGTGATGACATTGTACACAAACGTCCCTTCCTAGCCACCGAGCAATTTGTGAGCCTTCTGACTGATTGGACCCAAGACCACTCCCAGCAGTCACTCATGGTAATTGCGGATATGCACCACTGCCCTGAATGCCAGGCCTCCTTCAAGAGCCGAACTCTTCTTGCACTCCATCGAACGCAGGACCATCGAGTCCTTTTGCAGCATCCAATTGCATTTGAACATGCCCGGGATGCACACAAAGGACTCGCCACTTGCGCGCACTGTGTCAAGGATTTTCAAGACTGGTCCCATCTTCGATTGCACATCACTGGTAGAGCCTGTCTCATGTTTGATGCAGCCAAGGAAATCAACGACGACATCGTTCGAGCACAGTTTCAATTGCGCATCCACCTGATGGGGGAAACTTGGGACGACGTTCCCCAAGATGAAGGCCTTCGTGCATTCCTGAGCACTCGTTGCATCCTGTGCCAAAGGTTTGTGCCGAGGACACAGGAACTGACATCCCACCTTCGTCATAGCCACAGCCATCTTGCTGATCGCGTCGTGCAAGCAGGACGGGACTACATGCACTCCAGACAGCACGACCCCTGCAGCCTGTGTCAAAGACCGCACCATCCAACTATTTGCCCTTCATCGCACAGGACGGCCAGTGGGTGTACCACCCACATCGAAAGCAGCCATACTGGAGAGCCAATGCCACTTGTGTGAATTTTGCTGCCTTGACGAACAGCATTTGAATTGCCACCTTCGCCATCAACATGGACTTCAATCAGTGGCCTTGCCTCCAGCGCCTCGTGAACATGCGGACCATCCTGAAATTCTGGAGGCCCTGAACCAGGGACAAATCATGGATAACTTACAGGCCAGTGACCTGAAGATGCGCCTGAGCTCGCAATGCCTGCTTCGCCAATTTACGACTACCAGATTGGCTGGGTTGTTCAAACATCTTCAATGTGCTCACGGGCACCTTTGGCTGCTGTCCACGGAGATGTGCACCATGTTCCAACACTGCTGGCAGGGCACGTGCGTTTGCAACCCTGCACCGGTTGCTCGCAAGGGCCACCTTTGTGTTGGTTGGCGCCAAATTGCCATGGCATTCTACAACTACACGCCGCTGCACCGCACACTGATCATGCCTTGCGCAGTGGAATTTGCCAAGCTGACTGACCGCACCCACAGCTGTCTACGACGTTGGGTCCCTGGTCTCTCGCCACTCTTCTCCAACTACGACTGGAATGGCATCCTCTCCCACGCAGCAGCTTGTGCCACCCTTAGCACTCAGTGTATACTGTGCCATCAACATGAAGAACCTGACAGCATGCTGGAACACCACATCCATGAGCATGCCTTCCTCGATAGCTATGGGCCCCTGTTCACTGACCTTTGGATCAAACAACACCTGACCCAGGCTAATTTTTCACGCCCTGCGGTCTCTGCCAACAACAGCTGCCCAAACTGTCAGCTGACACCTCACAGCATTTTCAGCTGCTCAAACACAACTGCCCGGTGATGACTCAACTGGCAGCCATCAGCTCAGCTCTCGTGGTGGCAGACATCAATGGCAGAATCGGAGCCCATGGACGTCCAGGACTTCTCCTGCCAGCTCCAAGAAACGATGGGCCTATTGGCTCCAGTCCTCCTGAACAGCAAAGTGATCCCAAACGGCCACGGACCACGGGGTGGCGAGAAACGACCTCGCACAGAGGCAATGACCGAGCACGACAGGATAGGCAACGTCCAACACACGCTTCGAGCAATGATGCAACTTCTGCTTCTGAAGCACGAGGATCAGCTCCAAAGCATTGCCAACAGGATTGCCTCATTTTTTCACCACTCCCGGAGAAGCAGGGATACAGCCACTCCTTCTCAAGGAGACGGCCACATGGACACAAGCCATGCAGTCCACTACACCTCCGAAGGAGCCACTGCGACTGATCCTAGTCAGGACCATCTTCGACACCCTGATCGAACGAGTCCAGAAGATCGCCAACATGGACACCAAATCTGCAGCATGGCAACAGACGGTCAGCACGCAGGTCATCCTCCCCGATGGGAGTTGGCCCTTCCTGAGTTGGAACCATGCACAGAGCAAATTGGAAGTCAACCAATCGAAGAAGAGCGTGCCCGTGAAGACACTTATGGAGCTTTTGCAGGAGATCCGAGAATTGCTTTGCCAAGAGAGCTCCATTCTTCGCACGCAGGCACTGAAGCCGCCCACAGGAGGGGGCACGATCGCGTGGAGGATGCAGATTGGGCTTGAGAGAGACGACGCTCTTCGATCAGCTCTCCAGACTCACATACTCCAGCGCGTGGCAACTCCTACAGATGACGATGCAGCCGCACAATGCGAAGAGGACCCACATCGCCACGACCATTCAGCAGCAGCTGAACTCGAGGGGCACGGATCGACAAAACACCAAGGGGAAGGGCAAGGGCAAGCGCAAACGCTCTTCCTGATGGACCCCAACCTGACAATGGACATGGAAGCAGCAAGGACTGGGCTTCTTCAATCCTGCATGGCCAATCCGGCTGCCTGGTGCTACTTGAACGCCACCATCACAGGCCTGCTATGGCCTTTGCTGGCTGATCCACCGGAAGAGGCGCAGCTGAGTGAGATTTGGGGCCCTCAGGCAAAGGCCTGGTTTTTGGTTTTGGAGGCATGCACTAGTGCAAAGCCGGTCTCCCTTTTTGACCTCGTAGCACTGCAGCCTTTGATGCAGCATTGGGACACGCAACCACACCAGCAATGCTGTGCTGCAGAATTTCTTTTGAGGGTGCTTGAATGGAGTCAGCTCCCTTTGCTAGATCACTCATGGGAGCAACGAGTGCTCCAAGGTTCACAAGTGGAAATGTTTGAAAAAGGAGGTGAACACTGCCTGCTCACGGTCAATTGGATTGAGGAACTTGACATGGAGCATGTCCAGCTAGCGGACTACATTTGGTCCTGGGTTCACCACTTCGGCATGCGCTCGGCCTTCGTGAACGACTCACCATACAAATGTTTGCACCTTGACCGAGGCTACTTGGTGCACCAGGACTCAGTGGCCATCCCCAAGGTCAAGTACTCCGAGGTGATCCAGCTTCCCATCTTTGACGGTGACCAGATCACCTATGACCTCAAGCCATATCAAGTCATGGCCATCTTGGTTCGGCGACAGAAAGGGAGGCCATTACGTGGCCGTGTTGAATGGCCTGAGCGGCCAATGGATCGAAAAGAATGATGACAGTCCACCGGTCTATCACGACCAGCTCCCGGAGTACCTGTGGACTGCCACAACGGCGATCTACCTGAAGGCAAGTGAGAGGCCAGCCTCCTCGCAACAGCTCCTCCAGCTGTTGCATTTTGGCTGCACTCGAAAGGAGTGGGTAGCGCCATGAGCTGAAGCTCAGCGTTCCGCAAAAGCAAAAAAGCAGCCATCCATCCATCCATCCATGTTCTTGTGTACGAGCGGAGGAACGCTACCGCCTGGGGACTTCTAAGATTGATCCAAGGTCCTTGTGCAGCTTGTGGTTTCAGAAGTAGATTGGGCTTGCGCATGCGTTCTAACATAAAGCATTCCTTTTGTATGGAGTGCTCAGACTTCTACTGCTACTGCTTTTGATACCGAGCGAGTTGCTCTGAATCGGATTGGCCTCATCCAGAATGAGGAAACGGACATTCTTGACTCCAAACCTTGCGAAACTGGAGCCGTTTAGCAAGTTGAACAGAAACTGGGGTTGTTTGTTGATTGGAGGTCATGTGCGAATCCAATTCGCATTTGATGGAGAACAACTCAGAACAACTGCTCATCTGGCAGGATGCTTGTATTGCGCACCACCTCAGCTCTGACCCGATTCCCTCATCCATTCCCACCCTTCACACTCTCTTGACCACTGTCCCACTCTTGAGCTGTTGCCAGTGCTTCTCGTTGTCAATGAAGTCGATCAGTCTACCCACAGTCCCCACCTAAGCAGGCAATATACGGCAGTATGCTAGACCTGGTACTTTGCCAAGCCAAAAACAACATGACACAAAAGGAGAAGGCTTCAAGTCCATTATACAGATGAGTCTCAAAGCCGTTGATTTCAGCAAGCTTTGCCCTTCTTTGGCTACGGCTACAATGACGTCCTTCCACGAGCTTTGCTTGGTGGCCGACAACGCACTCTGGTCTTTCTCTGAGACGGCCAAGCCTCAAGCTTCGACAAAGGAAGGTTGAATGAGTCGAATGTGGTCTTTATCATGTGCTTTGTCGGATTTTCTGATCAAAGGACAATGAAAAGACTCATCTGCCACAATGTCTGTCTCATGTGGCCAAGGCTGTCACGTTTCTCTCCTAGTACCTTCTCCACCATAGCCTGCCAGGCCATCTGCAGGAAAGCACGTAGTGTCTGACAAATGTGCAAGTACAATGCCCCAAAAGAGCACGGCAAACATCATCATCATCATCACCATCCAACATTTTCGGAAACCTACTCTCTTCAAAAGAACACGGGTGGTCTGAGTTGCAGGCAAGCCAGGGTTGCAATCCCAGTGCTGGCGGTGAAGCGTCTTGCCTGCCAAAGAAAAAGAATGCACAATGCATCAAACAGTGCCATGAACCTGCTGCTAAGCGTGAAGCGAGGGGAGCAACAAGCATTGGAATATGAATTCCTGACATGAATTCCAACTCCAGGGGTGGCACAGGATGTACCAGCAGAAAAACTACATGAATCGCATGAACGGGTTGTTCTAGTATTGCGCGGTATTGCAACCTGCAAGTCGTCAAGCACTTGACACATCATATATATATATATGTATATTTCAGAACCACTGGTTGCTTTCTCATGTGCCGCTAAACAAATTCAAGCAAGGCCTCGGTCTCGATCTGGGCCTTATCAGCTTTGGTCTCAAAGTTGCCAGCAAATGTTTACCGTCGTGTATTATCTTGTCAGGATGTTCATTTCTCCAGCCCTTTCAATTGTTGCAATTGATTGCCTCAGACTTGCTTAGCTAAGTCTGCAGCCGCCAGTTCACGAGAAGGTGCTAGTACCAGGATCTGACAGGGATCTATCCCTTTCTCTGTATGTACATATTTGTATATGTACTATACGCTGTTGATTAGACATGATTTTACTCTTTGTTCGTCATGGTTGGTTTGTTTGGTAAAAGCATATCACATCCGGATACAGTCATGCATTGGCTTTTCTTCACGTGGTGACACGCCCCGCTTCAAACACCCCAAAATAACCGTCAACCAAGGAAACACTACATTGCAAAGGCACTAGTATCTCTAGGCTGATTGAAGTATGATGTTACCCGTGCTGTCAAAAATTAGTTTCCCCAACCTCAGGTGAGTAGGCACCTGGACCAGCAGCTTGCTTCTGCATCTGCACCTGGGAATTTCACAACTCGGCAAGTGCACGTCGATCTTGAGAACAAAACAAGCTTTCAGAACAAATACTATATGAACAAAGAGACATAGAAAGAAGGGCCCTCACCTTTTGTTAGTCTCCAGGGTATCACCCATCAATTCTCAAGTCTCTGGCCGGCAATGAGGCATCGTCACCAGGGCCAGAGCCACTGCCCATCCTGGAGTTGAGTCCAAAGCAAAGGATACAAGAAGGAAGCAATACAAGAGCAATGTGCTCAAAGGAAAACCATTTATACGTATATTGACAGCTTATTGCATTGCTTTCGTTCCAAAATCTCCTTGCCTGGATCGCAAGCCTTCCTTCAAAAGTCGTGCGAAACCTGGATGCAGAATAATGTTTTTCCCAGTTCAAACTTTCAATAGCTCAAGCGACGAAAGAACAAGATACTTGCCCTTGTTTGCACTGCTCAGTGTGCAGCAAGGCAAAAGGAAGGCCAGTGTTTTGCCAGACCCGGTCCTGCATCCGTGCTTGCCATGAACATTTCCGCATCAAATAAGTTCGTTCTACAGTAAGCTTTTTACCGGCTCGATGATGAGAAGGGTCTATGCAATTCCGGCTATGGTACGAGTATGGTGTTTTGCGCGGACACTTTCGCAGTGCTGCAAAACACGGTGGCCTAAAGAAACTGTATCTGTATCTGGTCTGCCCAATATACATATGGTGTTTGATTACCTATGGTATTTGATCAAAACATATCAAGACTTAACTAATCTTAACCATCATTCATATCAAATGGTCAGAGTTGACCATCCTCTTTATGAATTGGCAGTCATATAAATGTTGAGAGAACAGCCAGGGCCATTCCATGTCAGTCTGCTGACGAGGCTTTCTTTCCATCACGGCAATTTTTCAGCACATCAGCGCTAGAAAAACCTGTTGGCCTCGAAACCTGGAGGAATGAGTATGTTGCAAGTTTGTCGGAGATTGTGCGCTTTTTGTCCTGCAAGTTTTTCAAATCAATTTTGGCATGTCTGGGAAGTCTCAAGTTTCGTGGCGTGGAATCGGCATTTCAGCAAAGCCTTTGCAATCCTTTAAGGTTGCAATTCCAGAGCCAACAACGAAAACTGCCACATGAAAAACATGACAAAGCCAAGGACACAATCTCTTGCGGAAGTATGTTCCGCAATCCAGAAATGCTTGCAGTCATGGCCCAAGTCCGGAATGCAGATCCAAACATCGGCGAACATGCCTAGGAAACCCATCCACAGTGATATTCTCAGAAGTTATGCCTTGATGAGCACGACAACAAACATGCAACAACACTCAAAAGAGATGATATTGATAATGCGCCGTGCACGGATAATGATAGCAATGACGAACAAATGCACTCCAAGAATCTCCAAGACATTGTGATGATAACAGTGTGCAAAAACGTTGACAATTAAGTAAATAGGAAGGCATTACCGTTCTGTAGACGATGGCCAGGACGAAATTAATGGTAACATGGATAGGAGATGACGTGAACATAAGGGAAGGTGAAGTTTTCAAAGGCGATACCAAACTTGGAAAAGGTGCCCTTCTAGGAGGGTGGCAGCTCATATTCGCACACAGATCCAACTCATATTCGCACACAGACCCCTCCTGAAATCTAACTCAGATCCGCACACAAGTCGGACTCATCTTTACACACGCACACGTTTTCTAGCTCAGTTCATGACATCGACATCGATAGAAGAAACCAAAGAAATCATGCAAGCAGCTTTGTTTTGCCTCTGACACACCTCTTGGGCACCTCTTATGGCATCACTGGTTCAACTCCTCCGTGGAGGTTTTGGGATACGGTGCAACAGATTCAACAAGCTCACAGGTTCGTGAACACATCGGATGCATCGAACAGTGTGGCAAAGTCCAGCCACGCTTCCTTAATTGTCGGGGACTTCAATTCGAAGGTTGGCTGTGTCATTGCTGTTTGTGTGTCTTACATGTTCACAACGTTTTACCTCATGAGCATTTGCCTCACTCCGCTTGATGTCCCACCAGTCCGGATGCACCCCTGCTAGCTTTCGTCACCTACCCTCGGCCTCAAGTGTGTGTGTGTGTAAAGATGAGCTTGTTGAATCTGTTGCACCGTATCCCGGAGGAGTTAAGCCAAAGTGGATGCCATAAGAGATGCCCGAGAGGTGTCCCAGAGGCGTCCGAGGGGGGAGTTGAACCCACGGGGGGGGGGGGGGGGGGGGGGGGGCCCCCCCTACATATGAAGTTTTCACGTGATGCGGCGATCCCGAGGATTCCAGCCCCTCACTTGCTAAAGCAAGGACAACTCCAGCTAGCTGGTGCTAGCTTTCGTGATTTGATTGCCTTTCAAAGCACTCTTCTGCCATGCAAACTCATCTGCGCACGCAAACTAATGAGCGGGTTGGGTGGGGGGGTGGGGGGTGGCATGGGGTGGGTTGCAGTTGCCAACCAGACAGTGTGACTCTGAAGTGCTGAAAGGGTTGCCAGATTGGACAAGGTCAAAATCTTTACATACACACACACACACACCCTGTTCGAAACTGAAATCACTGTCTGCTGAACTTTTTGCTACTCTCACGAGTTTTGGCGACTTGTGTCTGTGGATCGGCTCAGGTGTCCATCGATCAGAGGTCAAAATCAGTCTTAAAATGTCCAAGACGCGCGCGAAAAAACAAACGTTGAGTGTGTTCTAAACAAAGGTTGCAACAAACAGTCTGCTATAGCAGTTAACAAACATACACACACACATGACAAAATACTAAGATAAATAGATAGATAGATAGAGGGTGGCCGCTCATATTCGCACACAGATCCAACTCATATTCGCACACAGACCCCTCCTGAAATCTAACTCAGATCCGCGCACAAGTCAGAATCATCTTTACACACGCACACTGCACACGTTTTCTAGCTCATCTTTACACACACTTGAGAAGGTTGCTCCGTGGAGCGCGATTTCAGGCTGCTCCGCGGTGTGCATTAGCCCTTTAGAGTTACTGCAAATTAGACCTTGACTGAAAAGAAGTGCAAAGTCGGTCAACAGGAAGGTTTGAACATATCGAGTTAAAAATTATGCAGGTACAAGTGGTTGATCAGACCACTCATCCACCGAAATGCCACAGCTTCGTAGGACTGGATAGGCAAATCGGCTCCAGTCCCCCTGCTTCTGTACAATGGTCACGAAAGTCCTAGGAAAAGTTAGTAAGAGCTAGTGTAGTGTCCTTGGAAACAGGAGTGGACACACACAAAGAGCCGAATCGGCGCAACTAAATCGGATCAGAAAATACCTGAAGTGTAAATAATGGAAGACCAAGACGTCGAAAAAGGAATTGTAAAGTAAGGTACTATGACTCTGCTGGCGCATCGTCTTTTTCTCGTGGCCGCAGCGCCGCGGCACAGTGTTCCTTTGAATGACCTTTTGGCGTATAGAGCTGCATCAACTGCTGTGCTGTGGTAGGTGCGAGCTGGTGTGGAAATGTGTATTTTCGTAGTGTGTGGTGTCGTGACTGTAAGCCTGCAAGCCTGAAAGGCGTAGTCTGTGACTCTCCGCTGACTGCGGAACATGAATCTGCCAGGGATGTGTGGGGAGTTGAAAGGTGACCGTTCTGGTGAGTGGATCAATCAGGCAACCGAGTAAATGGTCGTCGTCCCCTGGCTCTATTTCGACTGGGTGTTCATAAAATCGGGATGGGCCAGAGTAGTGATGGGGCGCTGATCTGTATTGTTCGTTTAGCAAGATATAGCGGGTGTCAACGGAGCGTGTGTTGAGCAAGTGAAGGCTGGGTTGGTGGAAAAAGGTGTGGTATGTGGTTTGCCAGGTATGTACGATGAGTGCGATTGCTACGTTGCAGAGTGCTGGTGAAAGTTGACTGCCAATGCCTGCTCCTTGGATTTGCTTGTAGTAAGTGCTGCAGGCTTGAAAAATGCATGATTGAAGGGCTTGTTGTACTATCAGGGGGATGTGTTGAGTGTCGAGTGTGCGTTGTTGTGGGTGGTGGATGTAGTGTCGACCGTTGTGGGAGTGTTGAATGGGAGTGCCGGTGGATTGTATGTCAAGACTGATGGAAAAGATCGCGTGGGTCTTGTCAATGTAGGGTGTGAAGTAGACAAAGTGTAAAAGTGCTGTGTGAAGTGTGGTCAAGAATTGTAAAGTGAGATGTGAGATGTGTTGGGTGACGCAGCGCTTGTTGAGCGAGTCAGGCGGCTAATGCCGAACCCGCTGCCACCAGCTGCTGTAGTGAACGTGGTGGTAGCTTAAGCACATGGGTGAGCGGGATGCCATAGCGTGTGGCTGCCTCCTGGAGCTGTTCTTTGGTGATGCGTTCATCTCGAAGAATTTGCTGGATATTGGTGACTTGTGTCTGAGTGGCTGGTGGTAGTGTCTTGAGCCATTTGTTGAATGCCTGCTGCCGCGTAGTTGGCTGGTGAGTTGTCTTGTAGTGTTTTAGTGGTGGGGTTGAGAATGGTGTTAGCTGTGAGTGCGGCTGGGGCTGTAAGTGGGAGATGGGGTTGGGAAGCTGATGATGTGGCGGGGTGTGTCCCTGGTTTTGTTGGTGTAAGTGCAATGCCATGAGTCTTCAATTTGTCGCGAGCTCGCTGGAGTTCGCTCTCTTGCTGGTGTAGGCGATCCGTCTGTAGCTGAAGTTTTTTGGAGTGCTGTACCTTCGCTTGCGGGTGGTGTGAGGCCTCGTAGGAAGTCAATCATGCGGGAAATGAGTGGTTGCATAAATTGTATGGCATCTGTCGTTTTGTTTGGAATGGATTGATTAGCTTGTTGGTGTAAAAATTCAGCAATGTTGTCAATGTCCAGGTTGTGGGCTGGTATCTCTGGCAACAATTGTGAGGTGAATACTGCTTCTGCGATAGACCTGGTGGTCACGATGCCAGTGGACCGTCCTTGGGATAAAGTACGAAGGCTGTGGTCTTGTAGGCCATAGCGACTGAGCTGCCAAGGAAAGATGTCCAAGACAGGCTGTCCTGCCAGATTGTATTTTCTGGACCATTGTGTCGGCTGGATCGTGCGGAATAATGTTTGACCATGTACTGTATTGGTGTCAAGGTGTGTGTCGCTGGGGGTCCATGTGTGTCTGGTTGCTTTTTCTTTTTCTTTTTCTTCTTCTTCTTCTTTTTCTTTTCTCTCTCCTGTTTCCTGCCAGGGGGGTGAAGGGGTGTTTGGGCGTGCATTGACTAAACGAGCCTGGAAAATACCTAAAAAGCCTGAAGGAAGGAACAAACGAAAAGGCAAAGAAAAGGAAAACAAGAAAAGGTGCAGGGGGTGAAGGGTGGGGTAAATGCTCTCATGAGCGAAGTGAAGCCAAATCGGCGCAGTGAAAAATTAAAAGTTGGAAAAGACTTCTCCGGTGTGAAACGGATTCAGTTGAACTCTGCAGTATATTTCAGAGAAAAATTCAGTGAACTCTGCAGTAACATTTCACGTGTGCCAGGTGAGACATTCCAATCAAGCTGATTTCAAACAGGAAAATTCAGTCGGGTAAACTTCA